TAGACTGCAGAACTGGATCAGCCTATTGCACATGGGCATGGACATGATTATTGTTTTGTGTGTGATATTGGACTTTGTCATTGTTCCTGTTTTGGTAAATAAAGTTAGAAATAAAATCTTGTGAACACCAATCCACTCAAGGAGCAATGGCTGCCAGAGAGTTTTCTTTGAGCTGGAATAGCTTGATCTTGAAGAACAAGAACGTTTGTTACAAAGAATTCAACCCGAGACAGCGGAGTCAGTGGAACGTCTGTCCACTGCCGCCGCTATGTTGTTGGGCCAATCACAGACGTGCGCTTTCTGTTGCGTTTGACGGATAGTTAAAAAGTGGGCTCTATGTCTGTCCTTGCGTACTTGTTGGAGAACCCTTCCACTGACAGATAATGGCGCTGCAGGTCTCCACACCTCCGCAGACGAAGAAGTACACACTAGGCTTGAGATTGGTCAGCTAGCCACTTCCTTTGCATTTATCAGCAGCACTGCCATTACCCAAGAAAAATCAAGAGCCAAATATATCTAGTAGCAGACACAGAGCAGATGGAAGAACATCTTGACATATATGACCATAAATGCAACCTTTATCGAAGGAGTACAAAGACATGCAGCAGAGTTTTTATTGTGGTGAAAGTGGCTTTGGAAGTGGTGACTGCATGAAGAGATGGAGGAGAATGAGGGACAAATACATAGACACAAAGTAAAATACATTTTCATGGAGCGGGAACATGTCTTCAATGGTGGCAGAATCCCCCCCTCACGAAAGTGCTAGTCTTGTCTTGGCGGGGAACGCTCCCCAGGTAACTAAAGTGTTTGAAAGCAAAACGTCTCCATCAATGCGTGTGCACGACTCCGCCCCCAAACTGACAGCGACGTATAAACTAGGCTTTAGTGTAGACAACAGAGGCACCGGTCCGACCCAGGGATCCCACTTTCAAACCAATCTGCTCTGACTCAGCTGACCGTGTCCCCAAAGATAACACATAAATCAGCGCTCAGTAACTCTGTGGGCTGAATTGGGAACATGGGGAAAATATATTAATCTCAGATTCCCAGAGTGGATACAAACAGTGGAGTGACTCTGCATGAATGCTGGCCTGGTTGTGAACCCGCTAACAGAACAAACATTGAGACGTTCTCAGACATCCTGGGCTGTCAGTGGTAGCAGCAGACTTTTGAGTCTTCAGATCAGGAAAACAATGGACCATTACACTTGGCATTTCAAGCTCAGACTCCATTGACAAAATCAACACGGTGAAGTGAAAGAGACTACATTATGTTACACGCTATATCCACAAGTTTTTCACTGTAGTTGTACTCAGTCACTTTTCTCAGAGAACAACTTGTTCCTTCCAGATTTATGATAAATTACAGCAGTGCTGAAGTCTTTGAGCAGACCTAGAGATAATCAGAGCTGGCACCAGGAACAGTGGCTGCACTAATGAGACCAAGGAGGAGCCTCAGCCCAATAGGAGGCTAACTGTGCACCTCTCTGTACTTTCAGTCCGCTAAAATGTAGCAACTAGCCTTAATCACATCTCATTCTTTGGAGAAATACGTTTTGAACACCAAAGAAGTGAGAAGTTATCAGCTGAGCATCAAGGTCTTCGAATCAGTCTTATCTCTTCTGGACAGTGTGTGTGTGTGTGTGTGGGGGGGGGGGGGGGGGGGGGGGGGGAATCCTGTCTGAGGTGACGCACAGCCCATCCTGTCACTGCTGCTGTTTCCTCCTTTGCCTCTTAACTCATCAGGCTGATTGTTCACCACCACAGGCGGTGAAGGGTCGGGAGGAGGCTTTCAGAATTGGATTCTGTCCATTTAAGTTTCCTGCCTGATGAGGGGCTCTTTCATGTCAGTGTAATATGTTGTTCGCAGGGCATGTTTTAAAGTTTGATGTAAGAAAAAAGTGAGTGTTGTTGCATCTTGATTGATTTTATTATAAGGAATCTGTGTTTTCTTTGCAGTTGTTCCACAAACACAGAGACGATCCAGGTCGGGCCCAATGACCGGGAAAATTATTCCCAAAACTGGATCAAGACCATAAATGTCAAATATGAACTGGTTAAAGGAAAAAACAAGGTATGTGTTATGCATTTTTATTGTAACACTGGTGACACTAAAAATGTGTGAACATGCATCAACAAAAACACTCCTCAAAGTTTCCTGATTTCTATTTCTCCTGGAGGTAAAACGATAAGAATCGTCCATCTCAATGTTTCCTTATGATCCATGATCAGAACATATTTAAATCCTTTCAGCAGAAACTCGCATATTGATTTTTACGAGTTTAAAAAGGATTTTTTTTTAAAAGCAACCAGGAAAACCAAAGAAAACAAAGCTTGTGTGTGGCTGCAAGCAGGAAGCTCAGCCAACGTGAACGAGCGTCCTAATGACTTTGTGATAGTTAAAGAAAGCAAAATATCTTCAGATCTTTCTAACGTCTGAGTGACTTTTGGTTGACTTCAAAAGCTGTTTATTGGCTCCATCTGATTCAGATGAAGTCTGACGGCTGGGACTGCACACACGCAGTTCAACTGCTTGTGAAAAATCACACTCTCAAACATATGTCTGCTTCGGTTAGTTGTTTCTGGTGTCATGCTCCAAAACACCAACCTTCAGGCTAAAATGCTGCTTCTCTGACCTCTACTTTACCCAACAGTGAAAACTAAACCTGGTCCTGGTGAAAAATACCTTTCATTCAGTTCAAAAAGTCTCTATTAGAGTAGCTGAGACGCCCGTAGTGACACAGACCATTTCCTTTAACTGGAGTGAAGGGTACCTCTGTGTTTCAGGATTATAAGGGGAGAAATCCAGAAAATGAAACCACTACAACAATTTTATGGCTCTTGCCAGAGAGGCAAATTTTTATTGTTAAGTCATATAATTTTTTTTTTGCCAAAAGCTGAAAGAACAAAGTCTGCATGACCTTTTGTATGATACAATCTGTGAGTTGTAGAAATAGAAGGTGGCACTATAATATGCAAACCAGTGACACCAAAACATTTTATTCTAAAAAACAACTCATTCATGAGTTTTCATGCAGCTGATTTTTATTTCAGTGCACAGATTTACATACCGAAAGAATGAGATCACAGATACCAGTGGCCGAAATGAGTTTTCTCCTCAGGGTGTCTGGACTCTCCCTTAAGCCGGGCGTACACTGCACGGCTTTTTCCCTTTTCTGAGCCAATTTTCCCCTCGTACAGGAATGTACAAGATCAGGGTGAGTTTAGCACTGGGCGTTGTGTAGTATACCGGGGGGGGGGGTTAACGAGAGGCTATTAACACCATGTGACCAGCTACCAATCAGCATTCAACCCAGATGTTCACCGCTGTTTCCTGGATGCTAAACCAACAACAGCCTTCCGTCATCGGGGCAGCAGGTAGAGCGGGTTGCCTCGTGATCGAAGGGTCATGGGTTTGATTCCAGGTCCCGCCAGGGGTATTCTGCTGTTGTGTCCTTGGGCAAGACACTTCACCCAACTTGACTGTGTTGGTCAGAGGGGCCGACGGCGCCAAATGGCAGTCTCGCCTCTTGTCAGACCGCCCCAGGGCAGCTGTGGCTACAAAGTAGCTCACAATCACTAGCAGTGTGTGAATGTGTGAGTGCATGGAAGCATCTTTGAGTGTCCTAAAAAGCGCTATATAAGTTTGCTGTATTATTATTATTATTATTATTATTATTATTAAGGTGGGTGAGTCCATGAATGTTAAGTGACAGTGTGACGTAGATCTGTCAGGCTTTTTAAATCCTGGAGTTTCACCATTTATTTTCTATCAGAAGCTAATGCAGGAGGTAGGTGTAGGAGACTATTCATGTTCAGCCTGCATGTTAAATTCAGTGATCGATAATTTTTTTTAAAGTGAAGGACCTCTTTTACATTTTGCCAAGAATTTAAGGAAAATTGCTGCAAATAATGTCATCATGTTTTCACTAACACATTCGTGTTTTGTGTGTTTTTACCATCGACATACTGTTTTTACACAAATTTCAAAGGAGATAAATTATGCTTAACTCACCTTTTGCATCCTTTTGTGCTGCCATGTGGGTCTCTAATGTCCATAAATCTGTCCATCCATTTTCTGTCAGTGTTTGGTTTTAGGATTTATGTGCCTAAAAAAGCTGTTTCTAAAAGTCCCCGTTTGCCATATCAGTATAAGTAGAATAGACCCACTTCTCACACGTAAGAGAGAGGTGCTGCTGGAGGAGCAGCAGCTTTACTCCATGCCCCTTGCAGATTTTGGAGCTTCTCAGCTCATAGCAGCCTGAGTGGGGGCGTGGCCAACTCCAACCTTTTGTCTTTGTTTTACGTGTTATTCAAGTTAAATAACTGTTTTATCATATGCACTGAAACTGACAAATTCCAATCCAACTGTATTTACAAGGCAGTTTAAAAAAATCACACACACACACACACACACATACACACACACACACACACACACACACACACACACACACACACACACACAACTAAAGTGCTTTACATCAAAAAAAATTATGTGTGAACGACAAAATTGACAAAGGAAAGAGAAAAAGAAAAGACACAAAACAGCCCTTTATATTTTATAAAATCAAATAATTCTTTTAATTTCTGTAATTTATTTGTCCAAAAACAGCATTGTTGTCTCCTTTATGAATAACTGTGTTTTCAAAAAGACCGAATGTTCCTTGTTTAAAATAACCTCATAAAACTTTTTACCTTCTTTTAATTACTGATACCTCTTCTTTTAATGGGTTTGAAATAAATCTCTGCGTTAACCACTTTCACACCTAATTACAGTAAATTTGATTGTTTTCACATTGCATCAGCTCTAATAAGAGTCTGACATAAACTAGAGAGGCTCTGGTACTCGTGGCCCATTGCTGGTGTTTTATGAGGGTTAGGGCTCAGGGTCAATAATAACAAGCAGCCGTTTTAAAAGATGAAGGATTTGTTGGAAGCAAATTCCTCTCTGTCACTTCACATAAATTGTGCTGGTCAGTGAATTAGAACATAGTCAGGCCAGCCTGGCCTCTGAGCGGCACTCCGCAGGGTCCAGTAGAGAGGCAGACTGGTCCAGATCACAGTAAAAATAAAACACAAGCGGGGGGCTGAGGGAAGAGACGGCATGGGCATGAAGGTCGGAGTGTGTCTGGTTGGGTCTCCCCATGAGGGGGCATTTAGATAATCTCGTGTTTTGTCACTGTGAGTAACATTAGACTCTAAGAGCTCTTCATTAAGCCTTTACAGACGACAGCGTGAACTGGACAAAAAACCCAACTATGTTTCTCTGTCTGGATGTTTGTGCCTCGAGTGTTTTAAATGGTTTCATTTCAGCTCAGATTTAACGCAATAGTCACTACCAGCCTAACAATATTCCAGACACCCACACCCCCAGCCCCCACCCCACCCCCATGCATGTGGCCATGAAAGTGAGACAGATCTCTGGTCTTCATCCAAGTTTTATTTAGTCTGTTTTAAACATTAAAATGTTTTTGCTGTAAATGGAGGTTGTCATTAGAGGTGCTGTCCAGGAAATAAGTTTACTTCTGATGATTTGAAGGAGACTTTAAAACTCCAGATGTATCCTTTCATTACCATCAGGCTCTGGCGATGATAAAACACACCAGGCAGGGGGTGCACGCTGCACCACAAGATGCTCTGTTGGTGATCCAAATACAAATCAAGTGCAGAATTTAGCTGATTATTGATTCAATCTTTTGCATTATTTATTTGCTTGTTTTAGACGGTGAGCACCCTGTTGATCGGAGAGGCTCGTGTTTCTGGAATCTTCTCCTGCATGGCTGAGAATGCCCTTGTTGGCACGAGCACAATGGAGATTCCTTTCTATGTTGACGGTAAGTAGAAATAAAATTTTAAAAATGACTAAAATCTTAATCAGACTGCATGGGGAAATAATTCTGTTCTAATTGTTAAACCTGCCACGGATTATTTTAGGAGATCTGCATTGCACGCTGTAATGACCTGCAAGAGCAGGGGTGGAATGTGCAGATTGTGTTGTGCAATAAAGAGTCCAGAGGGGGGCATTAATTGAAAACATCTTCCACTGTAGCTGAACAGCTTCAGGGCGGAAGAGAGGCGAGTGTGTCCTGAGCCATATGGAGAGCTGTAATGGCACGCGTTTAAAAAAACAACTATGAATAACTGCATTCCTGCTCCAGTGCCAGCAGATCATTCCTCTTCCTGGCTGAGCCTGTGTGCTATGAGAATTTACTTTTTATGTGCATCTGAGCATTTCCAAATGTTCCCCAAAGAAATATCTGTGAGACAGTTATGTAAAAACAGCGGGGATGAGGTGTCGCTGCGGATAAACACAGTAAAGTAAAACACATTTACTCTAAAACTGTGTGAATCACATCTCCTGAAGGGCGAAGGGCAGCGTTCACAGACACAAGGGGCTTTAGATAAACCTTTCATAGGGAGAATGGCAAGAATTATTCCTTCATAGTAAAAACAATCCCAAAAGGAATCCAGCTCCAGAGGTGAAGGCGACGGAGAGTGATGGAATGATTCAGGAGAAGGAGAAGAAAGAGGACAATTGTAATAACAGCTGTCATTTCTTACGGAACAGAGAATGCTTTCCAGCAAACTGAATAAACAAGCACAGTCTGGTTCCCCCGGGTCACACAGTCAGCCTCGCTCCAGTTGGAGCGCAGAAGCGCCGTCAGCAGCGCTGGCTGCCTACATGCTTCCAATTAATAGTGATTAAACTGGAAACAACAGCCGATCTGACATTCCTTCACCTCTGATGAAAAGTTTACGTGAAAGACTTTTGTACAAATTAGAAACGTGCTGTAGGACATGTGTTAGACTGAGTATTTATCTAGTTTGGGATGTTTTATGAGGATAATGTGCTTAATTCTTCTTCTCTGTCACTTCAGATGACCCAGAGGAAGTCAACATCCAGCCTCAAACTGCTATAGAGGGCAACAACATCACCTTGACCTGTCGGGCAACGCGTTACCTCTACACCGGCCTTAGATGGGTGGACTCCAGGAATCAAACCATCACTTCCAGCGTGTCTCAGCTTCAGATCAGCAACCACTCCATTTCTCTTGCTTTATATCTGCACAACGTGTCTCAAAGCAGCTCTGCAGGTTACACATGTCAGGCAGATAAGCTCCACAAGGAGGTTAAATCCAAGACTGCGTCGCTGATTGTAAACGGTGAGTTAGCTGCTGGTTGCCACACCGTTATCATCAGCTTCAGGTATTTTGAAATTGTTGTATGGGTGCTCTGCAAGTTACTTCAGAAAATAAACTGGAAACATTGGACAGGTTACTTTATAACAATGAAATAGACTAAGCAACATTAATTCTTTATTTTTCTTTTTTGAAGAGAGAAAACAACCACACTTCAGTCAGAATCTGACAAATCAGGACGTGAACAGCAGCAGCACCCTGGTCATGGCTTGTTACGCCTCAGGGGTTCCTCAGCCTTACATCATGTGGTTCAAAAACGGTGTAAAAGTGGAAGAAAGTCCAGGTAACCTTCAGAACACCATGGTATACGATTCGATATAATGTGAAATAATACAACGTGGTTCGGTTTAGGATACAATAAAATACAATAGGATGGGAAATAAACCAATTTTTACTTGTTCTTTTTACTCTGAGTTTAACATGCAGTGAAAATAGTCTTCTACCCCTATTTCCTGCATTAGCTGCCAATAGAAAATAGACAGAAAAACAATCGGCTTAAAAAACAGTCAGATCTACGTCACACTGTCACTTAACATTCATGGACACACCCATCTTGGCTCGTGACGAGGAAGGCATAGTGTCCAGGGAATGGCAGAGAACCTCTAGGCTAGTAGAAGCTAACTGTTAGCATTAGAAACTTCATAACAAGACAGAACTCCTTCAGGCTTGTGTTATTTGCGGAGATAAAACATCAGTGTTGCAGAGTGACTGGAGGCAGTGAAGGAGTCGTGTTGGAATGGCTGGAACGATGCTAGGAGTAAATAAGTCGTTAGGTCACTTGTGTTGATGTAATCTACACTGCTATTGCAGTGTAATTGCACTGCTGCAATAGTCTTTTATTTTTAAAATTACCAGTGATTTTACACTAAAACCATGTGTGATTTCCTGTCTAGCCCATGTTAACTGCAGAAATTGACGTGTCCCAGAAGCGACTCGCTGCCAAAACAAAACCCGATCCTATCTTTAGCGATGCGGTGCGCCGCTTCTGGGACACACCTGAAAATGTCTGCATTGTGGCTGGTTGGACTCTAATGGATTATGTTGGAAGCAGTGACGTTCTGTGCTGCTAATGCTTCCAGTGTGAAGTAGGGATTATACTCCAAATGCTGCCGTTTTCTGCTCCTCTCTTCCCTGGCTAACTACTACTTCCTAAAACAGAAGAGCTTTTTTATCCTCACAGAGAATGAAAGTGCAAACTGTCAAAACAACTTTGTCCAGCCTGCAGTTACAGTAGAAATCCAAATGATTCTGACCTGATTTCATGTCTCTGATGTCTGGGCGTCAGGTGTCAGCCTGCAGGAGGACGGGACTCTGATCATTGAGAGAGTGAAGAAAGATGACGAGGGTGTGTACGAGTGTGTGGCCCAAAACGTGGAGGGATTCGCCAAAACGAGTGCTGTTGTCACGGTGCTCGGTGAGTCAATCTGTCAAATAAAAATTATAATAAATATATCAAACTGAATAATTAGTCCAAGCAGTTAAATGTTTTTTTTTTCTTTTATAATCCTGCGTTTCTAGGGAAATCAAAGAGGCCCTTTTGGCCTTGTGTTTTCTTTTCATCACTACAAATTGCTCTGGTCTGAGACAAAAAGCTCCCGATGGAAAATTGGCAGCTGCCAGGAATGCCAAGTGAATTCCTTCTTGGGGTTTATGATCATAGCTTTGGCGGAGGGCCCTTTTGTAGAGGACATAACCTCTGTCAAGTGTTAAGAGGGTCTCTAATGAGTCTTAAAATATTGACTGCTGCTGCAGCCGCGACAGGCTGGAAACAGGCAGAGTCCATCGCTGGACACGAAGCTTCTCAGAAAAATTGTTTCAGAAAACGCATAAATAAAAGTTCATTTCATTCATTGATCAGAAACACTCTTCTCTTTCAGGAGATGATGGGAAGCCAAATATTGAGGTGATAATTCTGGTGTGCACTGGAGCTGCGGCCACTTTCCTCTGGCTCATGCTCATCTTGTTCATCCGGAAGCTCAGGAGGGTGAGGGCGACGTTGCTTTACTCCTCACATTATTTGTGAAATTCTCCATTTCCTCTTTTTAATACCAATGTAAAGTTTAGCTGGTTGTGAAATGCTGCTAAGCTGATTGATAAATTTAGAATTTTTTTTTAAATTGTGCAGCATGTCTGGAAGGGAACTCTATGTACTTAATCTCACTCGTGTGGGGAGCACAAGACAAAACTAGGTGTGATGAAAGAAGAATGAAAGTAATCCTTGTTTTATGTATCTGAACACATCAGCAACCATCTCACTACAAGATGGGTCCGTCTATCATCATTGATCCTGATGAGTATCCCCTGGAGGAGCAGAACGACCTCCTCCAGTACGACAGCAGCAAATGGGAGTTTCCTCGTGATCGCCTGCGACTCGGTGAGTGCAAGTCTTACATTTCCATTTATTCAGACCTAAAAGATCTTTGAGTTATTAGATTATCCTTCAGAAAAATGCATTTTTCAGAAGGATAATCTAACAACTCAAAGGTCGTTTAGGTCTGAGATGCTAAATAAACTAACCCAAGGTTAAAAGTTTTCAAACAGGACATTAAGATACATGATGGATGTGCCCCCCCTGCAGCTGCAGCTTTGGGTCATCATTTATATCTGACCTCTGCTGTCACCCTGACTCAAGTCAACCATAAATTTGTTTGAAAAACTGCCACATGAGAGCTCCAGTGGCCTCCTGATGGGAGGGGGTCACACTGACTCGTTTCTGTTGGTCTTTGCCCCAGAGAGACACACTTGGTGTCGTTCTATTTATCAAACTGTTTCCTTCTTCACCAGGTAAAATTCTGGGCCACGGAGCATTTGGGAAAGTGATGGAAGCTTCCGCCTTTGGAATCGACAAACTCTCCACCTGCAAGACCGTTGCAGTGAAAATGCTGAAAGGTAGCACGCCTGAACTTCAGCGTTTACTCCTGATGGGTTTATTCTTCTGCAGACCCATGAGCTCCAGCACCACATGTGCAATTAATATGTGCCTGGCTTAGTAGTTCAAAGAATGCAATTAGACGTGTTTGATGCAAAGGGAGGAAGAAGTGAAGGCAAAGACCTCTAGCCCCGCCCCCAAATCCACTGAGTTCAAAAGTGTAAAAGATCCAAATGAGCCAGAAAAATATTCCTGTTTATGATGTCTTTAAGATTTTAAATACAAAAATAACTTCATAAACTTCAAAAATAATAACCTTTTTTTCTTTTCTTTACTGAAACTTGAAAAAAATTAAAAAACTTCTAAAACTCCAACTTCCCTTTCTTACACTGAACACAGATTTTTGCTTGTTTTCTGCGTTCACAAAGAAACAGTCAACACTCATCAGTGAGTATCGATATTGAGGTGGTCTGTTAGCCTCGGCCAGGCTTCCAGCTGCATCTGTTGTCCTATGATTTATTTATGTGTGTATTAATCGTGTTTGGATATAAATCATAGATTATCTGAGGAAAGCAGGTCGCAGGTCAAACTTAATGGAAAGCAGAAACTCTGTGACTTATCCCTGCTTTTGGTTTTCCTCTCAAGTATGTTTCAGAGCGATCTGCATCATGGCATCGTGCTTTAAGCCTTTCAAAAACAAGCATGTCGAGTCAAAGTTTATCACTCTAAATGTGGTTTTTCAAAATAGTTTCTGATACCTTTGTAAACTTTGACCTTTTTAAACCTTTTTTCTCAAATATAAGTAAACTGAGCAGTCACCTCCTTTTTAATATAAATGCTAAATAGGCTATTTTTCCCTAGAAGACTGGGCAACATTATTATATATAGAAAAACATTTGTTTTGCATAAACATAAAAAGATTTATGGAATCGTTTGTATAACCTATACTGTGTGAGAAGCTGGGATTAAACAAATTATGACAATGTTTTTAAGTTTTTAGCATTTAAAGGGATACTTTGCAACTTTTTCATATTTTCTAATCATTTTCTTGGCCCATTATATGATAAAATAACGCTTTACAGGGTTAATGAAAGGCCGCCGAGCCTTATCGCCCCCCAGCGGCCAGAATATTCGCCTTGCAACTTCAGATTTGCCGGTCCGGTCTGCGGGACTTGGAAAAAATGAGCTGACATACCTGGCGCTGCAGTCTGCTTCCAGCATGTTTTAGATCATGAACACAGCTGATTTGTTCAATTTAGTGATAAATCACTCTTGTAGACTCTAAGGAAGGATGGGGAGACATTTCAGCTGTTCAGATAAAGGTGTTAAAAAGACAAACACACAGAGAGGAGATAAGTTTTGCTTTCAGTTTTACAAACGGACACTTAGGGATGTCAAAAGCAAGTCAAAACTGCCTAATCTCCCTTTAAAAAATATACATTTCATCTGTATTTGACCTATTTTTCCAATAATTTGATGTTACTACATATTAGTTTAAAATTTAGACTTTTGGTTGGGATTTTTGAACAATAAAACACTAAAATTTGAGAAAAATGTACTTTTTACTAAATCTACATGTTTTTGCCAAATGGCCAAAAACTTTCATAATCATACGCACATACACATTTTGCTGCTAGAGAAATCAAATCAAACTTAAAACGTATTCTTTACTTTCTTGTAAACATAATTGTGTTTGATGGAGTTTCCTGTTGTTGCAGGAGGTGCTACGTCCAATGAGCGTAAAGCTCTGATGTCAGAGTTAAAGATTCTGATCCACATCGGGAATCACCTGAATGTGGTCAACCTGCTGGGAGCCTGCACGAAGCCTGGAGGTGAGCATCAGACCAGCAGGCTGAATACATGACTGTAAGTCTGCGAAAGTGTCTGCTCAGGTATACAACTTTTTTTTCCATCTTTCCAAGGACCCTTAATGATGATCGTGGAGTTTTGCAAGTATGGCAACCTGTCCAACTATCTGAGAAGCAAGAGAGACGACTTCCTGGTGTACAAGGTGAGCTCTGATTTATCATTTCAGCTAAAGGTTCGGTGGTGTGGCTGTTTTAACACATTATTTGTGTGTGTGTTTAACCTCCTCCCATTTATCCTGATGTGTGTGTTCCTGACCAGAGCCCAGACGGTAAGGTGGTGTCGGCCGGGTCGGGCTGTGAGCTGAGCGAGCTGATGAAGCGCCGCCTGGAGAGTGTGGCTAGCACCGGAAGCTCTGCCAGCTCCGGCTTCATCGAAGATAAGAGCTACTGCGACTCAGAGGAAGAGGAAGAAGGTAAAGGCCAAGCTCTAAAGGCCTCCCCCTCCTCCCTCTTTGTCCCTCCTGTTCCCTGCAGATTGTTTTTAGGTCTGATGGGATGTTTCCTCCTCCTGTTCAGAAGCAACAATCTCTGCAGTAGGAGCCACTGTCTCCCCGCTGAGTCTGGGGAGGCATCTGCTTGCTTCCTGTCCAAACCCAGCGCGCCAGCCATGTTGTTTCTGATGTGTTGTTTCAGATCTGATTAGCTGTTTACTCAGGTGGGGAGGTGGGAGGACTCCACACGTTTCACCTAAAACACAGAAGCACCCACTCTTACGTCTCGTCTGTGACGGATGCTTTAAAGACAACCCCCCCACCCACCCCCCCCCCCCCCCCACCCCCACCCCCAGCAGGATCACTTTAGTTTCATTTGATCTGAGTTATCTGACAGGTGTAGGATGATCACATCCACGGCTTTTAGAAGCACACCGTAAATGAGAAGAATCACTGGATTTATGAAAACACTTCATCTACTTTTCTCTCCACAGAATCGGAAGATTTATACAAGCGAGTGCTGACTCTAGAGGATTTAATCTGCTACAGTTTTCAGGTTGCAAAGGGCATGGAGTTCTTGGCTTCACGCAAGGTATTCCTGAGACAAATCCCTACATCTTATATTTATGTTTATTTATTTAGGAGACGCTTTTATCCAAAGCGACTTACAATTTATAACCTATAGGGCGTGTTGTGATGTGTGGGGGAAACCGGAGTACCCGGAGGAAACCCACGCATGCATGGGGAGAACACACAACTCCACGCAGAAAGGCCGCGGCCGAGTTTCGAACCTGCGACCTTCGTGCTGCGAGGCAACAGTGCTAACCACTGCGCCACCATGCATCTTGTTTCATATTATCATTAAAAAATAATAAATCAACACTCAGTACAAAGCAGAATTTAAAAGACGCTGGATCCCATCTGATTTGACCCACTGTAGTGGTGTTTGTTTTATAATCCCCTCCTGTGGTTTGTAAAGGATGTCAACTTTGATCTCATTCATCCCTTTAAGTCATTCATAGTTTTGAGGAGACCGGATGAGACTGATTAGAGAATAACCCATTGTTATAAATTACCTGCCACAGACTATTTCTTGTTCTGTATGTGAAGGGAAAAAATATTTCCTGTGGTCCTTCTGCTAACAGATTGACCACATGTGTCTCCTGCTCGGTACCGTGGAGAAGTGCACTGACGTGCAGAAAACAGAAGCTGTAAATGTTAATATCTAATTAAACATGATTGATTTCCCATTTTTCCAACAGTGCATTCACCGGGATTTGGCTGCACGAAATATCTTACTGTCTGAGAACAACGTGGTGAAGATTTGTGATTTTGGACTTGCCAGAGACATTTACAAAGACCCAGATTACGTGCGCAAAGGAGATGTAAGTTGCATAAACCCGTGTTAGGTTTTTTTACTCATCTGTTTTGTATTTATAGCATCGCAAAAGGCTCCAAAGATTTTACATTTATCAAAAGCAAGAGAATCTAAACCTGACTTATCAGGAAACAAATGATCCAATCCAACTGAGTCAAGCTCTTGCCAGAGGTTTTTGCAGCTTTTACAAGGTCATTGGTGTTTGAGGTGAAAAGAGTCACCTGATCTCAATACTTGGTCTCAGGCCCGGCTGCCGCTCAAGTGGATGGCTCCTGAGGCTATTTTCGACAAGGTCTACACGACTCAGAGCGACGTCTGGTCCTTCGGGGTTCTCATGTGGGAAATCTTCTCTCTGGGTAAGAGTCACAGAATGCTTTTCTGCAGCATCATGTTCTGGTTCATGTTACCTGAAACAGTTCCTTCTGTTAAATATGTTAGAAACTTTTTCTTGCTCTGTTTTAGACCAGAACACAAACAGGCGTTGCTGTAAGGGAAAGAAAAAGCTAAATGATGGTTAAGATGCGTTATGTACAGGTTTTACACTACATTGTGTTCCTTGTAGTATGGATGCAGATTATGGATTTCTCTTTATTAACACTACATTACAGCTTTTTTGTCTTTATAAAATACATAAATATTAAAGAAAACTTTGTAAATCTAAAATTATTAAGCCAGCTTAAGTCACTCAGGGTTTAACAGATGTTTTGAACTTTAGGGATAAGTTTGTCTTTGAGGTGCAGGAGGCCTCGGTGACCATCTCCACATTTTATAACACCTTTTAATCTTATGTAAGATCCACAAAGTGTTTTACAATCTGTTTCTCATTTGCTCGCTCTCTCGCTCTCTCTCTCTCTCTCTGTCTCACACACACACACACACACACACACACACACACACACACACACACACACACACACACACACACACACACACACACACACACCAATACAGCCCTTATTATTTTTATTGCACTTTATATTATTCGTTTCTCACATCCTGATGATCCTGTGCCTGGCTGAGCCTGAGAAAATCCAACGAATCCAGCAGAAAATAGAATCAGGAATCATGCCTTGATTGGTCTTCAATCTGTGGCTCAACACGCTTCAGAAAATACTGTTATAGGGACACAAGGGGACACAAGGGGATACGAGGCGAAGGGCAGAGTCAGATTTTTTGTCATATAGTTTACTTTGTGATATAATTCTTGACTGACAAAAATCACGCTCACATCACATAAACATCAGGGTGGACTGGACTGACTTAGAAAACAACAATTATTGGGAGCGTTGGACTCTAATTGTGTTTGATTTCACGGCTTTGTGAATAAAAATGGTATCAGCTTTGTTTTGTGGGAGGTTAGATCTGGTTGGTTTTGCTGAGAGAGTTTGATTGGGAGATATTTTCACTTACTGTTGAACACAAACACGCGTCGCTGCCACCTTTCATGCCAGAGTTTTAAAGACCAAGTTCACTTGTCTTTTCAACACATTTGCAGTGGCCTCTATAATAGCTGAATACCTCATGAGTCGTTCTCTATGGGGAAGAAAAAAATCTGGTGCTCCTGTTTTAGAAACTAGTTGTGAGCCAGGGGAGAAAGTAGCAGAACGCAACAGAATTTGGAGTCTTATTTCATGATATTCTGACATCTTCTCTGATTGGATAACAGCAACGCGACTCTACCGACTCCGTTCACTCTGTTAATGTTTTATCTCCATCGATAACACAAGCCTGAAGGAGTTCTGCCATTTTGAGGAGTTGCTAATGCTAACGGTTAGCTTCTACCAGCTGAGACAGGCTCTGCTGTCTCCTGGACACTAAACTAACAACAGCCTTCCCTGTCATGGGTGAAGATGGTTGAGTTAATGGATGCTAAGCTTAGCAATGTGACATAAATCTGACAGGCTCTTCCAATCTGAGTGCTTCCCCTCGGGTAGAAGAGCCTTTTCACATTTATCCTGCATGTTAAACTCAAAGTGAACATTCCAATTTCAAAAACAAGTAAAGTAAAAAATATCAGTGAAATTGGTCTTTAAATAAGTGTCATACCTTGAAAAACTCAAGTGATTTCTAAATGTTTGAATTAGAAATTCAGTTATTTATTTTGTTTTGGAAGAAAATGTCTTTACCTTTACTTGGCTAGTGAGAGATCTGGGACATTTGTTGGACGCTCTTGTTAAGGACAGTGATTTTCTGGAAAGTCTTCACTGTTTTAACCAGTCAGTGAAATCTTTCTTATGAGAGTTGGACCACCTTTATGAAGAAAGAATCCACATCCTGTTGCTTCTGTCCGGTCACTGACTGGTCCTGGTTCTGGAGGGTTTTTCCTATTAAAAGTGGGTTTTCCACTCCCTGGTCTCCCATCATAAGGCACTTGTTCAGAATAGAGGATTGCTTTGAGGTGAAGATTCGGTGCAGTTTGCAGGTTTATTTAGATAATTTATTATTAATGAACTTAAAATAATCAGATTACATAACAGTTGACTTCAAATCTGGACCAGTTTTGAATTGACTTTGAACTAGAACCTTGTTTTCATACTGTTCTTCAGGGTGACGTTCTTTTGTGCTGCACAAAAATTTAAATTGGCATCACAAATTAACTCAATGAAACACTAAGATTTGTTCTTTTTATTAGACCATTAGACTTGTTTTATGATACACACTCAGCGGTTTTTTCTCATAGATTTTCCCCTGAATGTTGTCTAGTGGAGGATGGTGGTTATTTTATCTCTAGGAAGTGTTTTATCACCAAAAGGACAGTTTGTGCAGGTTAGTTAATTAGAATCACCAAAAATATTTAAATATAATGAGATAAATAATTCAGAATACCTTAACACTTTTTTCTGTCTGAAATTATGTATTTAGGCACATATTTGGTCCTAATGTTAAACTGACATAAAGATAAAAACTTTGCATTTTCACTTTAAAACACTCAATCTTCATCTTCTGGTGCTATTTTTGATAGCTTATTTTAATAACTTCAATGTTTGTTCACTCACTCTGATTAAGATTAACTTTTTAAAACTCTAGCAGCTTCAAATAAATCCGAATAATTTGTTTAATGGAAACTTTAACTCTGAGTTCGGTTCAGCTCATTCTGTGTTTTTTCACACCAATTTTCACCTTTTAAAAACCTGAGTTCACATCAACTGCAGCTGGAAATCCGACCTGTGTGAACAGTAACTCCTGGAACTGAATGGTTTTTCCTACACAAATATCAGATTGGCTTTGTGAGATTTGGATTGCTACAAAAATGATTAATTATGTTGTTCAGGGGAATTTAAACAAACAAAAATAATACCTAATGTGTCGAAAAAATGTGAAAATAAGCGGAACATTGCTAAACCAACTATTTCAGTAGTATTAAGTAACAGTAAAACAGCAGATTTAATACTACATTTTTTCTTGTATTGTTTTCCCATGACGTTCACGAGGCTCTTCAGCTCTGCATTAAATCTTTATTCCCCACATTAATGGATCAAATGTAAATAAACTCAGCGGAGGTTCCCCTTTCGGCCGGTGAGGGATGAATTAGACAGATTTATGTCCCAGCTGAATGAGAATAACAGATATATATTTTACTGTACATGCAGAATGAACCAGATCTTCATCATCCAGCTGTTTCTAATCTGAACTCCTTTATCACAAATTACATTTCAGCAATCGGGTAGTTTATCATGTGATTTTAAAGTTTTGCTTTAACTTTCATGAAAACATTCTTACTTTTCCACTCATTAAAGTTAAACTAAGTCATCATTAATGCCGTTACTCCCCGTTTTCCATATGTAGAGTCCCATACATTATTTTTTATTGCCTGTTTTGCTGTTTGCTCATCTCTGTAGTGTTGGAAAAGTGTGTCATGAACCACACTGGATGTTAGAATTTGGGGTCAAACCTGTTTGAGAAATACCACAGCTTATTGCCTCTGCGACAAACAATGTAGCTCTGTTTTAATCAATTCTACAGTTTTTGAGCTAAAATGTGATGTTATGATCACTGAGTGTTATTTCACACTCTGAATTCACCAACAGATTCCACATCTGTTGTCATTACAATGTAGAGTTAGTAGCTCTGTCTGACTCACAGAAGTCTTGCAAAGGGTCATCTGCTCCTCATTCTGCTCTTTCACCCAAACAGCACCCGTTTCAGTCTGCAAACATTTAAAATCGGCAATATGCACATACTATACAGAATTAAACCAGCCCATGTTTTTGTAAATTCCTGCTTTTTGTTTTTAAAGGCGTAGTTCACTGAAAAGCCCTTTTTTAATGATTATTTTCTGATTATAATTGGTCACTCCCGAGTTTTTCATGCTAGTTGAACATGAGAATAGCCTCCTACACCTACCTCTTGCAACTCTTAGCAACTTCATCACACAGCAGAAGCTCCTCCCGGCTTGTGCTATTTGTGGAGAGAAAACATCCTTGTTGCAAGTCAGTGGTAGAGTTGCTTTGCTGTTAGCCATTCTAAGACTAAATAAATAAGATTTTAAAAACCTGCCGCTGGAAGCGCAGCTGTGATGTGTCAACTTTTAGGTCAAAGAAATGTTGCAGCGATATATTATTTTCCTTCGAGAAAGACTTACAAGGGATACATTCCTAATATAGACCACTGCAAATGTATTGAGTAAACAAGTAAACCATTCCTTTGAAGCTGCAAATTAACCAGTGACCTACAGTCTAAAGTCTGACCTTGTTCTTCATCCAGTAAGTTGTGCAGATCATTCAAAGAAAACAGCTAAACGCTTCACCCTGCTGCCATTCATGAGCATGTTCCTATGGCATAGTGCTGTTTGCTTTGTGTGTGTTCTGATGCTGAGAAGGAGCTGATAACAGGAAGAATGAAAACACTAAGTGAGCGTGAGACAGGCACAATGAAAGTGAACGTGTCTGTCTGAGTGAATGTGACATTTTGTGATATTGCGTAACATTTTTATTCGCTTTCGTTTTTATGTTTTTCACTATGTGTGATACAGTTGTCTTCCTCTTTCCTCCTCCAGGTGCCTCTCCTTATCCTGGTGTGCAGATTGATGAAGAGTTTTGCTGCAGACTAAAGGAGGGGACTAGGATGAGGGCACCAGATTACGCTCCCACTGAAATGTGAGACTTTATTTATTTAAAACAGCAAATAAAAAGTTAAAACTCTGTTGCACACATGTTCAGCACTTCTAACTTTACTTGCTCTGCCCGTTTTCTATCATACGTCATTCCAAGCAGCTATATCTCACTGTTCATTTTCCTCATTGGAACTACAACAGATAAGGATCATGGGTGATCCTGCTCTGAAGGTTACAGGATGAAACATGCTGATTAGTGACACAAGCTTTGACTGGCAGTGATGTAGATGTACCTGAGCCTCCTGTGTGTCTAAAGGCCAAAACGAGTTTTCTGATCAGAAACTGGAGGACTCCATGCCTGCTGCAGAACACAATCCTCTGCCTTACTATAGTTTCTGTCAGGCAAACCCTTGTAATCCATCTGAGTCTCAGTATGATGTGTGTGCATAATTTTGTGTTTGGTCCTAATATAAAGTGACCGACAGTTTTTGTTTATTTTGAAAGCAAAACAGTACCTTATGCTTAATTATATTTTATCAGAAAGTGCTGAATTTCCAAGTGTTTTGAGTGGCAAAACTGACATTTATGAGTTATGCAAAAGAAATGCTGATTGGGACTGATAAAACGTAACCCAGACTGTGGGTTTCAGTCAGTCAGTTCAGGCTATCTATGACGGAGCTGCCAGATCAAATACTTCACATTCTAATGGCAGAGAGGTCTGCCTTTCATTTAAAGCCCAGATAAACTCTGTCAAAATCAAACAGGGCGCGCAGCTATGCACTCAAACCCAGTGGGGTGAACTCTTTTGATACCCTCTGCTGTTTATCTCAGGTGTGCTTAAACCCAGGCTCTGACACCATGACCCTGATCCTGAACGTGGAATAGAAGGAGAATTAAAACCACATGAGGTTACTGGCAATGTCACTCACTTTTTTTTTTTGGCTCAGCAGCCATGAATTCATCTGGAATGTCATCTAGCCCCTGTTATTAAGATCCCCGGTTGTGATGCATCGTGGAGGAATTTAGCGGATGTTCTGCAGAGAGGGTGAGCACAATAAAAGGATGCTCATTTCCCATCCTGCCACACTTAAACCTCCATAATTTTAAGTCTTGTGCCGAATCCATATGCCATAGGTCTCTGTGACCATGTGGAGCTATGCTATTTATTCCCATTAAGGAGTAGAGAGGAAGTGTGATTAAAATGGCACGGTCATACAATGTGTCTACTTCCTGCTCGGTGGAATGTGTATGAGCCGTTGGAAGAAAAACCACCTGGACACGCTGTTCATTTAGATGGGAGCTGCAGCTGCTTGGCCTCTTTAAACAGAGTTTGACAGTTACATATGTCGAGGTGGTGTCTACAAACCAGGCTCTGATGATGCAAAGGGAATCAGAAAGGCTATTTTACTGACTGCTGCAGATGGATTGCAATCAGTGGCGTGCTGTGAATGTGATTGAAAAGAGCAGCGGTGGAGCTCTGTTTCTAATTTTCCACTAAAGAGAAGCGGGGCCTGCATTCACGTGAAGGTACTGAATCCTTCCACTTAGGTAGAGATGCTGACAGCCTGTCAGAAAGCTGACAGAGCTGCTTTTTTGTTTTTGAGGAATAGAGAATCTGAAAAGAAAACATGATGTAGAGGTGGAGCAGATGTGGTTTTTGAAGCAGGGGATGGGATGAAAGGGCCACCAATCCTGAGGTTGTTCTTCTCGTCCTGATGAAGCTCCCAATAAAGAAGGATTCTTTACTCGTAGATACCAGGCCATGCTGGACTGCTGGCAGGGCGAGCCGCAGCAGAGACCCACTTTCACAGAGTTGGTGGAGAGACTGGGGGATCTGCTTATGGCCAGCGTGCAACAGGTACAACACATTCAAAAACTCTAACGAAATTCTTAATTCCCACTCCAGAAGTAAACATGTTCCAGTTCTGCAAAACAATTATCAACAGTTTTAGTCAGAAACACTGATTGCATTCAGGAAGCAGAGATGAAGACCAGAGAGTGCAGGATGTAACTTGGAATAGAAGAACTGCAGTTTAAAACAACATCATCTGTCCCATAAGGAGCCACACTTACTCCAAAACATGTGCCGAACATGTGTAATCCTTATTTATGTAACGTTCGATATGAACGCTGTTCAGTGTCATTGTCCTGCTAAACTAGATCAACAATAAAATACGATATAACCCCTACTGCACACTGGAAGCAAAAGCAGCATGGAACGGCAGCGAAATGGAACCCCTTCAAATAGAATCCATTATAGTCTATGGAGTGTCACAAACCAGCAGCGAAGCGGCAATTTTCAGACGCGTCCCAGAAGCGAGACGCCGCACTGCTAAAGTTTGGATCGGGTTCTATTTTTTTTCCATGAGCCACTTCTAGGAATGTGTCAGTTACCGCAGTTAACATAGGACTAGACAGGAAATCACACATGATTTCAGTGTAAAATCCCCGGTAATTTTCAAAATAAAAGTATTGCAGCAATGCAATTTCATGTATATGAAACTTACATGTGACCCAATGGTTTATTTACTCACAGCATCGTTCCAGAAGTGCAGCAGTGTGTTTTCATGGCTTTATTCCTGGAGGTGGAGAGGAAAACCCTCATATGACATCAAACAGCTACATAAAATGTGATTTCCTTATTTTTGGTTTGATGGCAAATTGCATAAACAAACCATAACCTTTGAAGTCCCAAGGGATCGTGTGATGTTGCAAGGAGGTTGCCGGAAATCTCGAGGGATTTTGTGCACTTGAGTGCTGTGATTGTCTCGAGTAAACCATTAAGCCATCGTTATGCACTGCTTTTGCTTTCAGTGTGCAGTAGGTGTAGGAAGACTAACCACTTTACTTTTAAAGGGGACATATGAGAAACTTATCTTTTGCATCCTTGTGTGCTGGAATGTGGATCTCTGCTTCTATACACACTCCAAATGAGAAATAAATTCATACATCCGTTCTCCATCAGTGTTGGGTTTTAGGAATTATGTACCTAAATCAAGCTGTTTCAAAAAGTCCCTGTATGTGATTTCACAAAGGGGAAAAGTAAATAGACCCACCTCTCACTTGCAAGAGTAGAGCTGCTGGAGGAACAGCAGCTCTACTATGGGCCCCTCCCAGATGGGTTGTGAAACTAGAGGATGGATGAGCATGGCCAGCTCCAGTTTGTTTTCTTAAAGTGACAGAGCCCTGAAACGGCTCATTTTGGAAGGTATTGAAAACGTCAAGAATAAAACTGTGAGAGGAATTTTATGCAAAGAACCGAATGAACATGGTTGGTATTGACCATAGAACTTACAGTAAGAGGCACATTTCCTACGATTTTCTTTCACTTTCTGCTTGAGAGGAAAGTTCCTGCAAATGAATGTAGATTTTCCAACATGTTAAATGAGATATAGACAATAGACTGCATTACATTCCTATAATAAATTATTTTAAATGAATCTGTAAAAGTGAGCTAATCAAAAAGCAATTCTAGTGCAGGAAGTCTGGCCGTGAACTGTGCCACTGCCTGATCCAACTTTATGAACTTTGGATTTATTGAGCATGACCGTAATTTCTTTGGCTGCTCGCCACCTTTAGATGGGTTTGTTTGCATTAGCATCTGTAACATCAGCCATGAATCTCACTGTTTTGTTGATTTAGGAGGGCAAACACTACATACCCATAAACACAGCCTTGCTGGTGAAGATGGGAGACCAGACTGCTGCGGTGGAGACAAGGGAGACACGCTCACGACCCGTTTCTCGCCGCGATTCAGGAGGCAATTGGTGAGAGATGGATGCAGCTGCACCAAATCTGCAGAGTGTATCTCCTCACTCAGGATACACCATTACATCTAAAGCTACCTTAAGTTTTTAATTCAAACAAACTTCAGCTCAGAATGAAAATTTATCTCATGTTTTGCCTCATGGCCAAACTCCTGCAGAAGCAGCTCTGCACAGAGCTGGTAGTTGTGTTGGCTTGGATCTGCTGCCTCCATGTTTGTGTTAGGAGGAGTAAATCATCTTTCACACACACACACACACACACACACACACACACACACACACACACACACACACACACACACACACACACACACACACACACACACAGTAAATCCTATGCCTGTTGCAGGCAAACAGAAAGAATTCAATAATTTTTCCATTCTGTGCTGAAAATGATCCAGAACAACTATTGTTCCTGTTGATCCCGGCCTTAGTTCAACAGAGGAGTGTTTAGCTCAGACCCAAGGACAATGAGAACTAGACTGGTGCTCGATAAGACACACACACACACACACACACACACACACACACACACACACACACACACACACACACACACACACACATACACACACACTACTCCCAAGCTTTTGGTAATGTGGCTCTTATCAGGAAATTCCCCATAAAAACACAGAGCCAGCTTTAAGATTTAAGCTGCCTAAAATAATATTTGTGGAACTCACGGGTTTTCACAGCTCCTCAGAGTGTGTTTATAGAGGAGGCGCTGAGACGCAGAAGTGACCGCTACCTCTGAAGTTAAACTGAGCTTCTGTTTGAAAGTCCAAGTGTTGAATTGTAAAGCAAACAGTGTGTGTTTTCAGAGTACAATGTCATGGATGCTGCACATTGTTGGCTTAAGTGATTAACTTCCTGCAGCTCTGTTGCTGAACTCCACTCTGGTGAAATCAAAGGATTCCTTAAAACGATTTAAGGAGATCTCAAATAAGTTTTGAATTTTTGTTTAAGGAACATCAAGATCCGTCCTGCTAGCGTAAAAACCTTTGATGAGGTCACCATGGAGGAGGGGACAGATGAAAACCTTGAGGTGAGACATTCTGGCTATATCTGGAGCAGAAACAGGCGCAATATGCTCAAACCGCTGTTGGGTCTAACTCAAGCAATGCATGTGTTTTAAGTTCTAATGAAACTTTTAGAAAGTTATCATTAAGCCCAAATCACACAGCAAGAAAATCATGCCAATTTTTGACCAACCCACCCCTCTCAAAAATCTGAAAGTCTTGCACGATTGCATGATAATTTTAAAGACAATCTTTTCAGATAATCCTACCTTGTGTGGTGTGTTAGGAGCGCTCTGCTCTGCTTGGATACAGATTGGGTTTGCTCTGATCATAAATTCAGGCTTTGAAACATGTTGGATTGTCTTGGTCTGATGTTGGGGGACAAACGAACGTGCTCGCCTCCGCCTCTATGTTTGTTTACATCAAAGTCACGGTTTATCTTGTGAAATTTTCCACCTGTGTGGGTAATGTTTGTGAATGAAACCAGTTTGTGTGTAGTGTGTTGTTTTTGCAGAATTGCTGCACACCACACACACACATGCATGCATCTGGGACTTCAAGGTGTCACAGATCACCATGTGTGGTTTCTCATGATTTTAAAATCAGCCAGCTATTTAAAAATCCTGCTCTATGAACCGGGCTTAAAACATTAGCACAATAAGTGCTTTCTTGGTATCAAAATGTGTCTTTAAAATTCACAGACATATGTGAAATCCGTGGCACATAACTAGCAGAATTAGAAAATAGTGTTTTTACCCCCATTGACTTGCATTCAATTTTTCGTTCCGGGGACCCGTGGTCCGGAAGTCGATGGGCGTGGCTTAGGCTCTCTGTACAGAAAAGCTCCTCCAGGCATGAGTTATTTGTGAAGATAAAACTTCAGCTTTACTAGTCAGTGGTATAGAGTCGTAATGCTGTTATCCAATCCACGGTGAGATGTACAAATATCAGGAAATAAGACTCTAAATCTTGTTGTGTTGCTGCAGCAGACTTGTCCATGCTGATCCAAGCAATTATTGGCTTTTTTTGCCCAAAGTACGGCTTGTAATGCATTGATTCCTACCAGAGACCACTGAAAATGTATTGATTAAACGGGTTTCCCACACCTTTAATGAAAAACACTTTTAATGAGCACCTGAAAGAAATTGTAAGAAACTCTAATAGAGTTCATTTATGTCACAAACTCCTCCCGCTGACTTCATTCCAATCATTCCTGCCACCAACGTGGCGGCTGACGTCATCACGCCGACACTACTTAAGGAAGTGCCGGCGTTTCATTCATTGCTCAGTCATCGTTCTCACCAGACTTTGTTCCGAGTCTCCAGGCTTACCAGCCCTCTAAACCTTCCAAATAAACCTTCAGGAGATAACCACGCTGGTTATTCCCATCACTCCGCGTCTGGGCAACAGATCCTCTCAGTCACGCTTCAGATCTGCCAACGAACCTGACAATTTACAAATCATTTACAAAACACAGACAAATCTTGAATGTCAAATCACTTTTTTTCATACATTAAATACATAAAATGGTTTAAATTCTTTATCTTTTCATGTCTTCATCCTCCTCAGGGTCAGTCGGACAGCGGGATGGGCCTTTCCTCTGAAAACATGAAGACACTGATGCGGTTCGAATCGTTGGCAGGACGACCTCTGAGCATCATGGCTCTGGCGTACGTATACACTGCGCAGAAAACACTCCAAAGGCCCCACAAAGCAGCACAAACACTCCAGAGATGAGACTACAAAGTACCTGCTGGGAAACCAACCCACTGTGCTGGAATGTAGACACTATAACCTTCACACACACACACATACACACACACACAATGTTTCTTCTGCCTTAGTTTTCATCTTTTGTCTGAACGTGAGGCGCGACGGGGATGTGGGAGGTGGAAAAGCTTGACAGTGACTAACCTAAAAGCTGAAAACAAAAGCAGAGTGAAGTTTGGCTGGTTTCAAGAGAAAACACTAAAACTCTTTGTTTTCACCGAGGAGCATCCCGAATGAGAAACCTCCCAGTCTGAGGCAGCAAAAACACTCAAACCAGTGACGTAGAGAGACTCAGAAATCCTGTGGATTCTTTATGACTTTAAGATGTGGATTCTTGAAAACACTCAAAGCTGTTGGGAAGGAGGAAAATGTGAGACAGTATGTTCTCAATTTAGAGGATTTTCTATGAAAAAAATAGAGTCAAACGTGAGGAGGATGTCTGTAAATCTTTCTGGTATGAAAGCTTCTATCTGAAGCTTTACATGTTAGGTTTATAGCAGCTTGGTGGTAGGGTAATTTAAAGGGTCAAAACTCTGAAATTAATAATTATCTTCATCACTGTTCTGCCTCGGCTGCACGAATGCACAATTTTCTGTGCAGCGGTAAATCACTTGGAGCTCAAATCTCAGTTCAGCTGAAAATGAAAGAGTCTAAACTTGAGAAAACAACAAAAACACTTATAAATTACTGAGACCTAACATGTAAACAACTGCTGGGAGAATAACATGAGACGTGCTCTCCGAAGCGCTGCAGTAAATTTACAGCTCGCCGAACCTACAGCCGTGCTCTCACGGGGTCTTTTAGATCTCAGAACTAACCGTGGAGGGCTCGTTATGGGCCTACTTGTCCCATCAAGGCCTCAGACTCAGACAAAGAATCAGGCCCAAGCCTCCAGAGAATGATCTTTGCTTCAAAGGGAGCACTTTCTCACTGTGCAGCCACTCCATCACTGCCACTTTTAAAACTATAGAGGGTTTTACAAGGACCTCCCCTGCTGTAGCGTCTCTGAATAACGGTCCACCTGATGCTCCTCCAGCTTCAGCACTCCTCTGACTTCTCTTATACGTGTTTTAGGTTTTAACCCTGTTTTATACAAGAGGGTTGCCCAGATATAGCCTACACTGGTGATAAACGAATAATTTATTCTTAAAGAAAATCAATTTGACCCTGATCCTTTAAGTGTAGCTCCACTTTTCCTTTTGCACTGTACATGAGATCTTTTAAAATCTCGTTAACCAGGTAGTTTATTAATCCAGACTAAAATTCCAGTACAGCGGCCTGTCTTCCTCCTGCTGGGAACTGACCCTTTACCCCCCAGAGCGAAGCTCTGGAAACCCATGGCAACGCCCGACACAATAAGACTCAGTTACTCATATTCTGGGAATCTAATGAAGCAAAAAAAAAAGAAGCTTGGGATGATGGATTGAATCATGGGAAAGGGGGACAGTTTATGTGATTATTTGGCTTTATTAAAAAACGTTTTCAAAGGAAAATAACAGGCTTTTGTCATATTACAGAAACAACCTTTATTTAAAAAAATCCTAAACGTTTTCAATCCATGAGGAGCCAACTATGACTCTTTAGATAAATAAATATATTTAAAAAAATAGATATTTGGTTTTAAAGTGCAACAGTAATGACAAAATATTTAAATTATTCAGCTGAGAAATACACAGAGGATTTGTAGAATAAAGGATTTTAATTAATTTGTACTTATCAAAAACAAAATATTTATTATTATTATTATTATTATTATTATTATTATTATTATTATTATTATTATTATAGAACCAAACAGAATAGAATAAAATAGTCCTTTATTGTTTGTGGAAACCACTTTGCATTGACAATAGAGTTATAAATGTTACTGTCTTGTTCTGCATCCAGTGGTTACCTTTTTCATTTTTATTTTTTCATTTACACTTTTTATCTAACGTCTTCATTTTTCTCCCATTTTCTATCATATTTTTCAATATATATTTTTATTGTTTTTGTTCTTGTGAAGCGCCTCATGCTTTTTATCTTGAGAGGAATTATGCAATAAATCGTTTCTTCTTCAAGTGAGGTAGAAAAACACGCCATCAACATGATTAAACATTGAAAACAGTACAAGGTGGTAGAAGACAGTTAAACACCTTATGTAGGAATATGTGTGCAGGTGGTTAATGTGCAGTATTATTTTTAGTATTGTTGTTTGTTTCCTATTGGACAATGTCATGTAATTCAGAATCAGTTTTTGGTGATTTTCAACTAAATATTCACCATTTTTAGTTTATTTGAAATCATCCCTGCACATTTTCATCTTAAACAGCCATGTTTAAGTCCTGTTCCTGTGTGTTTTCAGGATGAAGGCAGTGAGTAAGAGTAAAGAATCAGTGCTGAATGATGCAGAGAAGGACAAGTTTCCTCCCACTGTTCCACCTTTAGACTTCAGTCTGGATGACTCGGCTCTGGACGACAGCCTGGAGTGTCACAGCCCTCCACCTGACTACAACTACGTGGTGCGCTACTCCACCCCTCCAGTGTAAAACCTCCCGTCTTTGACAAACTGGTAGTGACAACCTTCAAAGCCTTGGTTTCCTCCTCCAAAAGATTCTCTGTAGCATCGCTTGAGAGGAAAACCTGAGATTTCCTCATGTTCTGTAACCAGAGCTAGTGTGATGCAAAAGGAAACCTGTGGACTGTTGATTCCTCCAGCTTTCATCGATGCTGCTGGCCCATTCCACCTTCACTGTGACACGTCAAACAGCTGAAAACAGGCTCAGGTATTTCTTTGATCTACTGTGAAACAGCTTCAGCACCGATCCGAAAACCCAGCAGGAAAAACGAGGGAAAGGTTACACCTCACAAGGGAAGGATCTTCATTATTTTAGACCCTCTTAAGGAAAAAAAACTATTAATTCAATAATACGAGCAAAAAGCAGAGTAAAAACTTTCAACATTTATTGTTAGAAGATGATTTTTTTTTCTATCAGTGTTATTTTTTATAACAAACTCAGGTTTACCCAGAGGGAGATAAAAATGAGCTATTTTAATTTCTGTGGGTTTTAAATCACAGGATGATGAGGAAACAGGGTTCAGATTTAACAGCTTGACCATAAATTGCATCAAATGCAAACACAGACCACTCATGTTAGACTGGTGTCCAAATAAAAGGATTTTTTTTTGCTTCTTTTTGTTTTGTTTTTAGGTCAAACCTGAAGAACAACAGAGATTGTATAGTAATTTGTATACAGAAGCAGTTAGAATACACATAAAATACTGATAGTTTATTCAAAAAGCACGTAAAAAATGTGTTTATATACCTATAACTACATCTGTTGTTACACTGTCACTTATTCACCTAGTCTAATCCTGTTTAAAAGCTAACCAAAGTATTTTTAGCATGGTTTTCCTGATTATAACTGTGTAAAACTGTGTTTTATTCCACACTGTTCATGCTGCTGTACCGAGAGAGCACCAGCCTGCTACGCATCACACGCTCCACCACCATGAAACTTCTTTACGTTACCGTTTTAAACATTTTAATATAGGATGCAGAACCTTCAGTCACACCTGTTTTCCTGCCTGTGTATATGTGCACACCCTGCATAGTTGCAGCTATCTACTACTCATCAACCACTAAGAAAATGTGTTTTTTTCCCAGATGTTATTGTGTTCCATGGAAAATGAGTATGCACTGATACTACCAAGTAAACTTTGTTTTGTCATATTTTATTGAGATAGTGTTGTAACATTTTGAAAAGATTTCATATTTTCTTTTTTTTACCTCGTATTTAACTGTTATCTAGTATTAGTAGGAAATTAACATTTGCCACTGTTGTTGTATTATAATTTTTAACATCTGTAAGGATTTCAAGCTTTATGTGTTTAGTTGAGAGATTTCAACCTCACAGTAACATTTGCAAACATTCTGAAAACAAAGAAAAATGATGATGTTGTTGCATTACTAAAACAGAAGTCAACCCTGCATGGTGTGAGAACTTTGTTTTAAGAAGAATGATGCTTTGCAGCACTGTTAACGGTGCTTATGAAGTAAATAAATAAATAAATATATATTTGTAAGTCACTTGCACTCCTGACTTGCTTTCTTTTTAAGAGTTCAAAGGCTCATGAAGTAAGAATGACATCCTGTGATCAATGTGGGTACTGCAGACCTTATTCAACACATACAAGGCACTCCTCACTACTGTTCAGTGAGTTTCTTGACAGTTGCCAGTTATGGATCAGCACCAGAAGATTCTAGGTGACAGAAGACGAGTCATACACAGTAGGAGCTAAACACATTTCACTGACATTTTGAGTTGTTGCTTATTGAAAAAGTAGCTTGAGATATTATTAGAGTGACTATTTGTTGATAATTCCCCATTAGCATTGTTAGCTCAATGTTAGCCTCTAGCCTGCTTCACCTGATATTAAAGTAAAAACAAAAAGGTGACTTCTTAGGGGTACAAGAAATAAGTTCTGGGTCACTACTGGTTTAGGATGGGTGGGTGGGTGGAGTCTATGCAATCCAGCGTCTCACAGATTGTAAACAAAAACTACGTCCCTCATTGGCCAATTTGAAAGGAGAAAAACTGGCAACCCCCGAGCAGTCTGAGAAGGAAATCGGGTTCAATGTAACCTCCCTTCCAACATGAGACATTAGACTCTTTTGCATTTATTTTGCTGGACAATTCTTACTTATTGTACCTTGAAAATGTAAAAATTTCCAATGGACCTTTGAGATGAAAATTTTAAATCTTTTGTTAATCCAGCTGTAAGTTTTTTTTTATTTTAAACCCAGATTGTCCTTAAAATAGGATTTATGGGCAAAACAGAGTTTAAAATAAAACAGTACCAAATTCAAGTGTTGTTCATTATTTACTCTGCTTCCTGCTAAACACTGCAAAGGGGAAAAAAAAGAAACCAGTGATATAAGAGCAAAGGGCAATATTTCAGCAGAGAAATGCACCACTGCAGTGGCTCAAAATAAAGATGGATTTGCGTGTTAGTGAAAACTGAAATAATTTCAGAGGAAAGTTATCTGTTTCCCTCACCTGATCCTTGTTTTATCTAGCAATCCCTCGGGGTCTTTTAGACTAGACATTTGTAAATCAAATGCTTCTGAGTAAGACCTAGTGATGTTTGCTTAGATTGGAATGTGCCATCAGCCTGGCCTGTGCTGAGAAACACCCACTTCCTGCTCGTGACAAGGTGTCGGCAGCCTGTCTGTTCCCGGGGACAATGCCCCCTCCGGTCAGGAGAGGAAGGAACTCTTAAGCATCCTCATCAGGACCAGAGGGCGCCACACACGGGTCTTCCTATGGGAGCCCCTGGTTACCGGCACTAGGTGTGTCCGAGGAGTCCACGCACACAGCAGACCTGGACTGTCAACCATCTCTGTTTGGCCTTTACCGTGTTTACAGTCAAGGTGAGCGCCCGGCAGTAAATTTGATTTCTTGTCAACAACTTCCTGTGTGGACTATTTCAGGAATACAAGATGCAAACAAACAACGGAAGGACGTCAGGAGGGGAGAGGTACGTTCATGGCATGCATTTTTTTAGGTGTTGTGTAACTGTTCCTTTACTGTATTTTTCCAAACTTACACAAGTTTCTGCTCTGGTCCTGAGTCAGCGGAGACATGATCTGTTTTTTATTGCAAAGATCCAATACTGCTCATCTGGACTGGAAACGTTTAAATTACCAAATTAATTAAATACAACAATATCTGACATAAAGTTGCTTAGGATAAAACTTGTCCATCTTTACTTGTAACTTTTCTCTTGCAGAAATGTGAATTTTCTAGATGTAGGACTAATAAAAGTGTGAAGATTAGTGATTTAAAAGTCAGGTGGGGTAGGGGAGCAAAAAAAGATAATTTGGACCAGTAAAAACATTAATTACAAAAACATCACAAAAAATGTGACCACAACTCACTAACACAACATGTTCACATTTTTATGGAAACAGAATAAATGAGTATTTTATTTCTTCTGAATGAATAATCTTACTTTTATTTATGTATTTATTTTGCTTGTGTCTTACTTGTGCCCTTCAATAATACAAGGGAAAGTGATAGGGACATATAGTATAAGGCAAGGCAGCTTCATCTGCATAGCACATAGCACAAACATTAAAATCAACATGACAGCTAAATTAAAATACACAAATAAATTTAGACCAAATTAAATACACAAATTAATCTCACATTTAATGATCAGAAAAAAGACAAAGTTAAAGACTGAGCAGTACAGGTGCAGAATGTGCTGCATAAGAGACATTCATTAAAAGGCTGATGAACACATGGAGGTTTCAATTTTGATTTAAAAGTTAGTTGGGGCACATTCTAGGTCATGAGGAAGCTGATTCATCTGCGTGCAGAATAGTGTGCAATTTCTTATGCTGCACCGTCTCCACTAATCTGTGATGTAATTGTTCAACCTTAATTCTGTCTTTTCTTTTTAGCTTTAAATTATAATTTTACCTGTATATATTTTTATTTGTGTTCTCCTGTTTATTGTTGTGCCATTCCATGCTAATTGCAAAGCACACTGAATTACCCCTGTGTTTGAAATGTGCTATATATATAAAAAGCTGCCTTGCCAAAAGCAGCTTCACCTGTATGGTTCTGACCCGAGGTTCTACCGGCTGTCTACGTCCTAAGGATCCCAAAGCCCTGCTGGGCCTATATACTGGAAGGATATCCAACATGTATTTTGGCTCCATGCCACTGAGTGATTTTTAAACTAGTAGAAGTACTTTGAAATCGATTCTGTAGTTTACTGCTAACCAGTGCAGAAAACAGCAGTGATGTGCTCGGTTCTCTTGGTTCTTGTTAAGACTCTAAATATAAAGAACAAGCAAATCAAGAAAATAAGTGCTCTGGTTAAAGTGACAACGTGTGTTTTCCCCATCAACATAGAAATATAGGGACAATGTCTTTCCATAGACTCCAATAACACGTTTTTGAGGGGAAATGGGAGGTGGCCACCACCGCCATTTTGACCGTGTCACAGGTTCCGTCAAGCCCAGACAATTCCACAAAAGGGAAGAGAGATGGAGCTGAGGATGGGGCTGTAAGGCTGGGATCAACTGACGGCACCTGGTTGAACTAGCTACAAGCTAACCTGAAGCTAACCCTGGCTACCCCAAAGCTAACGCTGAGGTGGGAGCTAAGCTAACGGATGTAGCTATCGAGCTACAACCGGAGCTAACTCTGTGGAACAACAGAGACCTGAAGCTCACATGGAGTTTAAGTGGAGGTTTGCAGCACTTTTTCATGAATCTTTCTGTGAATAAAAAAATATTAAATCGGTAAGTTTATAAGTTATTTCTGTAATGAAAATATATTTTGCTTTGAGCAAGTTTTCAATATTTTCACCGTATTTTCCGGACTATAAGTCACTCCGGAGTCACACCAGCCATAAAATGTATAATGAAGAAGAAAAAAACATATATAAGTTGCATTTTGGGGGGAAATTTTATTACTTTTTTACAAAATCTGAGACCAAGCGTTTCACATTGCAAGACAAGTACCGGTAACAATAACAGAATAATGCACTGCAGCAGCGCGCCACGGTCTCCAGCAGAGGATGGCGGTGTTTGAAACCCTCCCAGCGGGACAGGGGAACTCATTCATGGGTCGGAGTCGGCCCGCAGCAGCGCGGTGTAGCCTACATATTTTGTTATATAAGTCGCTCCGAGTATAAATTGCAGGACCGGCCAGACTATGAAAAAAAGTGTGATTTATAGTCCGGAAATTCTGGACTCAGTACAATTCACCAAAAGTAAAGAGACATTATGCAGATGAAGTAAGCACACGATAACTTACTGGAAGAAACAGAATTATCATGAGAACCAGAACAAGAGAGCCTGATAATAGTCATGTGAAAATAACAGTTTAAAAGTATGTATGTATAATAGAAATAAAATATATTAGAATTAGTGTAACTCACTGTGATCCAAACAATAAATCAGCCATAGCTGATTAGCAATCATGAAATGAGGTCTGGGAGTTTTTAAGTTTCATTCTTTTATTACAGTTTTTTTACTTAGATCTGTAAAAAGGTCACCATGGCAGCTTGTGTGTCTTCAACATCGGCTACACAAAGCAGCAAGTGTAAGTACCAAGTACCTGTCTTGACCACTTCATGTATGGTTTTGTACTTTAAACAGCTAGGCCAAACCTGTTATTTTTTTCTCCATAGCCATTTGGGTAATTGGAGACAGCTACGTGAGGCGCGGTGCCCAGAGAGCTGCAGAGACCCTCGGAGACAACCTTGGCCTCCCTGACGTCCATGTCTCCTGGTTCGGTTGGGGCGGACTGAGGTGGAAAGACCTTCTCCCCTTCTTTTTCCACTAAATGCGAGGAAAAGCAGCTCCAGGTGTCCTCATCATCCACTGTGGCGGCAGTGACATGGGGGTGGTCAGCAGTGTGAAGCTGGTCAACAAGATGAAGGAGGACCTGCACCGGCTTCACCTTATACACCCTCATATGATGATCATCATGTCATCCATCACCCAAAGGTGTAGATGGAGGGCAGGTGTAAAACCTGCTAAAATTGAGAAGGCAAGAAGGTTTGTCAACAGTGTTATGGCTACACTTATTTCTAGCTTAAATGGTGCAGTTGGTGTGCATCCTCCTATCAGACATGACAGTCCAGTGACATTTTTGTCAGACAAAGTTCATTTCACAAATAGGGGAAATGATATATTTTTAACTAATATTGCCAGTTGTCTTAATGGCCAGCTCCAAAAGCAGTGAAAGACTTCCAGGTGGGAGTCTCGTTGCTTTTGAATTTGGCCTTTAGGACAGGTTTATTTTCAGGCAAACAGGATAAACATATCCCTGACTGTTATAATGTGTTGTTGATGTAATTTATCTATAGCCAACACTGTTGACAACTATGGTCTTCCTTCACAACCCAATGTTCCACTCACTCTGCAGCTCTCTGGGCCCCTTTTATTATTTAACTTTTTTTTTATGTACCGACACTTTGTGTCCTGTTATTTTATAAAATGTGATGTAAAAAAATAAATGTTTTTGCTCACTTACTGGAATTTCTTTGGTTAAGACAAAAAAGGAG